GTGTGGCAAGTCGGCTATGAGCGCTCAAAGGCGAAGTAGCTGTAGGATGTCAGAACTTAAGTTTTATTGTTTTTGCAATTTTTCTTATAGCCTCTGGTGATATCGTACCTCCTTGTTCGTCAACAGATATTAATAGATGCAGGTTGAAGTATCTTTGCATCAGTTCTAAGATCTTTTCCTGAAGCAGAGATGGGCAAATAATATATGATTGTGGATTACGGTCTTCCTCACTCGGATAAAATGTGTGATTGATGAAATCAAATTCTACAGAGGCTTGATTAATATCATAATTTACAGCTATTAATCTAGCATTACTTGATGGTTTTGCTTTCTCTTCAAGCTTATGTTTTACAGCTCACTTTAGGTGCTACACACATAATTGGACAACAGAAACTCTCTACACTATGGATGCAGTATTTATTTCTGTAAAGTTTTTGTCTATAAATACGAAATCCGAATTAATATTATATGATTTCAAAATCTCTATAAGTTTTTTTAATATTGCACTGCACTTTCCTGTAGTAGCATCCAAATTTTTCGCTTTTATTGTATCTATTATAAGGTAAGTGATTAGAAAACTAGCTTTATCTATATTAGCAATAATGCTATAAAGTTCATAGCATCTACGTGTAGTCTTATACGTTGCATTTATATATATCTCAGTAACTTTAAGGTTGCATTTATATATATCTCAGTAACTTTAAGGTATACAGTTTAAATTAGTAACAAAAACATTCTTATATTTTATTTAATTTTCTAACTTATATTAGGAGATTTCTTAAGAATTGACCAGAGCAGCCTCCCAGAATATGGATAGATGGTGTAGCCCAGTATAATAGCCAATTGATGACAAGCCTTAAAGCTATTTAATTAGCACTATTGTTTATAAAGGGGATTTGAGGTTTAAAATTGATATTGATTATTGTTTGTCAACACAACATGATTGGCAAATTATTAGCTGTGGCTGTAGTTGCACAATCGATCTGCACTTTTAAGAGTTGCCCTGGTTGATTCATTTCTTAAGATCAATAAACTTATTTTTATTTATTATTTATTTTTTATTTATTTTTATTTTTTTTTTACTTAGACAAGATCACACCAATAACACTGTTTATTAAAGTCATCATCTTATGAAAAATGCAAAAACAATAAAACTTAAGTTCTGACATCCTACAGCTACTTCGCCTTTGAGCGCTCATAGCCGACTTGCCACAC